TCGTAGCTAGTTTAACTTACCCTGAAACACAAAAAATACCCAGCTCTAAAATTAAGACCAACCTGGCTTACTGCATCTGCGCTTTTTCGCTGGCTGGTGATACTGGATCGGCTTGGCTCGATGTTCCGGACGATGATTTCGCAATGCCGGAAAGCTGATCAATGCTTGTGGAAGCTGCCATTTTCGCCTGGAATATTATAATATGCAAAATTTTCAAACACATTAATCACATGTTCGAACAACTGTTTTACACAATAAATAAATCATGTTTGTTTTTTTTTTCACCTGCAGCTTATTACAGAGGACAAAAAAGAGTAATCTTTTGTGCTGTTAGTTGCAACGATGCTCAATCTAAATGAGGGAGAAATGCAGAAAATTAAGTCAAGAGTGCAAAATTCTGTCGGAAAAAGAAGATTAGGAACTAGCAAAGCTTGTGGTAATGGTAAGAAATGTATACGACTTAATGGACCGAACACATTTCTTACCATCATAATAATTTCACAAATTTTCTAATTCTTATTCCTAGCCTTCCTTTTTGATTCTTCTGTTTATTTTATTCCTTGTTAATATACCTTTCTATAGAAATTTCGAGATATCCTACAGATATCCTTAGTTCAGGGTCACGATGAGTTACTCCAGTTCAGGATCACGATAAGTTTTTATCTCTCCCACTAAAACGACTAGTCAGATACTATCTGTTCACTGATATGTTTCGATCTTCTATCAGAAAAAAATCCTAAAAACCTCAAAAACTTTTTTACATCAAAAAATAGCTGGATAAGCGGAATGAAGGCAATGATTTTTACCTGTGTATATGCGGTGCCGAGTTTCGATTCAAACGATTTAAACAGCGATGAATTGCGCATATCATTCCATCCTTTCTTCACCGTATCTGCGGTCCCAGCAACCACTTCAGTTGTTTTCTGATATCTAAAATACATGAAAAGCAAAAATAAAGCCCCGGAATCCGAAAAATCGCAATGTATCACCAGTATCAGTATAAGAACGAACGCTGGCTGTGATGGGGAGAGCAGTGGAGAAAAGAATGCTTGGCATATCTCTGGCGTGCAGGATATCATTGTAATCAAACAGTAAAGCAAATTCAACAGAAGTGATATGATGATTATGTTCCTCGTTAGTGAGTAGTATTCGCTGGAAAATGAATGACCACTGAGAGGCGGCTATCGAGGAAGTGGCACACAAGCATCGGAAAGTGGTGGATACTATGCAAGTGATTTAGCGCATGATTAAATTTGACCTAGGATTTAGGATTTTACTTAGGGATAGGATTTAGGATCAAAATAAAGGATTACAATTAAACGGCTTAGGATTTAGTGATAAAATTTGGATCAAAAGGCCTAACGCACGTATGTGCGCCGTATGAATACCCTGACTGTTCGATTGTCCTTAGTATTTTTGATATTTATTTCACTACAACTGCCTACGGTAAGTTAAAATACTTAACTATTTGAGTAATTGAACAGCTGCATGTTACCAACGTTAAAATATCAAGATAAATTAATTAATACAGAAAGTTAAAGTAAGATAAAATGTCAAAGAATAAGTTGAGATATTACGATCAAAGATAGTGCATCTAAATATCATATGTACCGAGGACGTGTATTGGAGAGCAGTCTCATGTTTCATCCCTTAGCTGTAAACACAAGCATCGCAGAGCTACGATGCATTTGATGGAGCTTTATTTTCAACTGCTCTTTCTTGAACCAGTACCATCCTTATTCAAACAAAACTCTTTCTATTTTTCGAGCGCTTTTTGTTTGTATCTAACATTTATGTCTAAGAATTCTTCCTTCGTCACTTGAAGCGAATTAACAACTTCAAACTAATTTTGACACTTTTTCGCTAAATTCTGTGTTTCTCTTGCTAAATTTTATGTTCACTTCAACGATTTTGCAATTTTTAACTCAGTTTTGAGGATTTTTTTTTCCAGATGACTGCTTTTAAAGTACTATTTCTCCCTTAATCCTTTGAATGTCGAAGACATTCTTGTCAGTTACTAAAAAAAAGAAAAAAAAAACTAATATTTCGAATTCTAGAACAAAACCTAACGAACTGTCATGGACTTTGCGTTCTGGGAAAAAAGACATGCCAGATAGGATAAGGGCATCCTCGGACAAAGATTTCTATGAATTCCTGGACAACTTCAGATCGATAAATGTTCTGAATTCATCTTTTGTGTTTTTCTAATACAATGATAACAATGCTTTCAGCTTGTTCCTCAATCACAACACGAGTTATCAGGGCATATACGGCTTAATGGATCGAAACGTTTTATCTCATTCTTACCTTCTTTTCTCATACTGTTCTTTCATACTTTAATCTATCGCGCCTTCGCCATTTAGGCTTCCAGGGTTAACCTGATTGCTACAGTCCGCTTATCAAGGTGGCTGTTGTTGGCGATATACCAATATTCAGGTAATTTCTAATAATCTTTCATAAGTACTCAAATATGCGGGAGTATTTGACCCAAATTTCTCAAACAACGACTCAAAATGTTAAAAAAAAATTGACTCAAATAACTTAAAACACAAAAAGTTTGACAAGAACTTACGCCTGGGATTCCCTCACATGCTGCAACGAATGATTGATGTCGGCTGTGAGTTCAGTAAGCGGTGAGATGCCCAATTTACGTTTCAGCTCCGCAGCATGCTTTTGTCGTGCAACGAGCACTTGGCGCAGCGTATTGATCTCCTCTTCCGTCTAAATTTTATCATATTATATCTTGAGACACCCAAAAATCCATCTCCCCTTCCCTCCTTCCGCTCCAGCCACCCCGCTCCCGAATCTCTTGTTAAGTACTTCTGTCCGGAGAAACACTGAGCTGGTAATCCTTTCAGAAGACGAAATGAATGTCACGAACAGCATGCATCAGTATGCTGGCCAACAAGCGATGCAGCATTGGTCAAAGCAACAGGAAAAGTTCGGAGCTAACACAGCTGAGGAACTAAGCAATGAGATAATGAAGTACTAATTTATGCCAGGACTTCTCCGATATAGTAATCGAATAATCAAACTTGTCATCTTTTCCATCATAACTTATTAAATCAGCTTCATCTTTGGTTAAAATTGTGGCCATTCTGCACTTTATTTTCTCCATTCCATCCATTCGTTTAAAAACTACAGTTCCGCCTACTAACAGCCGCATATTATTTTAACAAACTTATCCCACCCTTATTTTAAACTTTCTCGGACCGGGCGCCGCTCCACATTTTGTTTTCTTTGGACCGTCCACTTGTTTTAAGATTACGATTTGGCCTTCTAACGGCCGCGATTTATTATTACTGATAATCGAATACCGAAACAACGACCGTATTTGCACACAAAAACCATTTGCAAAGGGTAAAATATGGGTAACAATACCCGCGCCAGGCATGTTGGGTAATGTAGTTTAGATTTACAGGGATCTGGAAATCACTGTGAAAAATGGAACTACGCGTAAGTCAAATCAAAGTCGCCGTGGATTTTTTTCACGCAAAAGACGAGGATACCATTCATCATTGTACCAACCCAGTCTACAAGCCTGTAGAGAAAAAAAAACAGCGTAAAAATCCG